ATCTATCATCTATCTATCTCTTACATTTCAAGAAAGGTTTTTCAGAGTTTGTCCTTCACACTACAAAATCTCAGGAAATTGTGCAACACACCATTTGTTTGAAATCATTATTTTATGTTAAGCCTAGTTGATGTCTGTAGAATAATAACTATAGGTTTAGTTGCCAGAAATGCTGAACAGGCTTCCAAACTGAAGAAATATGTAGTAAGCCTTTTAGATGAACTCAATCATATTGAAAATAGGGGGATTTATGGTGCCACATACAATCTATCAGCAGAACTTCTAAAGATTCTTGATAGGGCAAACTTTTGATGGCCAGGTAGATAGGACAATAATGTATAATGGGCTGGACCATAATATATTTATTTTTTATTTTATTTTTTTTTACTCAATTTATATATGCACCCATCGCATATTTGTGACTCTTGGATGCCTTACAATTAAAACATAAAGAGTATCCCTCCCCCGGGATGGGGACTGCCATACAAACAATACAAAGATTAAAAACAATTAAATAATTAAAAGCCATACAGTACAGTCACCAGGACAGCACAGACATTCAAGAACAGTGCAGCCATTTTATGGGCTCCACACCACTCTCTGATCTCCAGGCGAGATGATGAACCCAAGTCTTTAGGAGGCCAACAAAGATGGGATCAGCCTGACCTTGGTGGGAATGATGTTCCATAGGCTGGGTACAGCAGCAGAAAAGACCCTGCTCCTGGGTCCCACCAGATGACATTCTCTAGTGGACAAAACCTGCAACAAGTCACTTCTGCTGGACCTGATGGGAAAGGTAGATGTCACTGGGGAGAGCCATCCCCTCAAATAACCCGGTCCCATGCCATGTAGGCCTTTACAGGTTGTCACCAGCACCTTGAATTGCACCAAAAAGAAAATTGCTAACCAGTGCAACTTGCAGAGCAGAGGTGTAATGTGTGCAGGTCTATACATAGCTAGTGTTGGGATGTTCACTGTTAGGCCTTTTGGAGTGGGTCCTAGGTTTATAAATCATGTTAAATCTATTTTAGAGCTTACTCTAGAAATGCTCATTTTTTCTTAGAGGCTGACTTTCAATTGCAAAAGACATTTCAGGGATCACAAAAAGGGGGCTTGAAGGTCAATTGAAGATCTCTCTTACAGGAGATGAGCCGTTCTCAAACATGACTGGCTAGGTAGCCGTATCTCTCCAGCCTTGGCTGATCCCAGAACCTAAGGCAGGCAGGCAGGCTGGACCTGGTATGTACTTGGATGGGTAACCACCAGAAATACTGGGGTGCAATCTGCATGGAAAAGTTGATTATAAGCTCTAGAGGGGAAACACCAAAATGTCTCTGTCCATTCTCTTCTACCATAATAAAGTAGGAGGAAAATAATAGGAACATAAACACTCAGAGACGTGCCTGCTTTTAGATGTTGAACTGCATGAAGGGAACTTGTTCCAAAAGGTGAAATGGCCAAGAGAAAGATGTAGACGGGACCAGGTAAGAATATAAATCTGATCTCATTAGACTTGACCATTGCTAAGCAACAATGTCCACTCCTACGGCTACCTAGCCAGTCATGTTTGAGAACGGCTCATCTCCTGTAAAACCTATCTTCAATTGACCTTCAAGCCCCCTTTTTGTGATCCGTGAAATGTCTTTTGCAACTGAAAGTCAGCCTCTAAGAAAAAATGAGAATTTCTAGAGTCTTTATTACTAATCTTCGTTTGACAGGAAAACAAGACTGAAAACATTTTTCTCTAGACTATTTGAGGATTTCCAATTCAACCTCTGAAGGAATATATCTCCTGATCTGCCACCAGGCAAAAAACAGAATATCCTGTGGATACCTTCTAGAGGTAGAATGGTGTATATTTGAAGAGTATCTTTGAACTCTTGGACTCTTTCAGACTCCCTGAAATGGAATCAGAGTGGGCTCAAATCTATTCCCATTGACATTCACACAACAAGCAAGCAATATTTTGAAATCGAACAATAGATGTGGAATTATGATAGGAGTCACATGATTAGTATTGGACTAATTTACAAGCTGAATGTACTCCATGCCTTCCTGTCTAACTACTACCATCTACAAGAATACTTTCAACATGTGAATTATCTATGAAAGTCAACTGTTTTAAAACCATAAGTGAAGATACATTGTTCGAATCCTTTAAAATTTAAGAAAGTACTGGTCACTGTAAGTATTTTCAAAAAGACTAAGAAACTAAGGAATTTAACTATGCATATTATTTCTAAGTTGATTATTTCCAGTATGGAAAATAGAACTGTCCTGGTCATCTTATTGTTAATGTTTAGGTAATTATTAATATCAAGTAATATACAGGAACTTTAGAGATAATGAAATATTAATTTCCCCAAAGTTTCTTATTTGTTCTTTCAGATTTTTGGTGATTTTTTTTAAAAACCACACCAATATTTTTATTTTTCTCAAAAGCATTTCCTAACATCCTAAAGAAACAAACACTAGTTTACATTATTTTCAAATGTATTTCATCTCTGCTTTATACTAATACACATATGTTTTACACATTTTCTCTGATTTTTCAACTTTCATTTCATTTCCTTTTACAATTGGTGTCTTCAGGATTACATGTGAAGCAAAAACAAAAACAAAAAAACAAAGTGTTTAGTTTAAATCTCTTCTGGAAATGACTCAAATTTCACATCATCATCATCTGCATAATCACAATCTTTTGAGCTTAAGAAAGTGTGTAAATGTTGAGGAAGTTAATTTTAGTCTTATTTTCTGTGTCACCTTTTTTTCTTTCCCATTAAGATAGATAAACAGGTAGATATACAGTTCACCATTTTGTCAAAACGAAATGACCACAGAAGTTTTGAAAGAGCAGCTTTAAGGTCTTTGTTTCTCATGCTGTAGATTAATGGATTCAGCATGGGTGGAATGATGGAATAGAGTATTGTAATTATAAAATCAAGATGTGATGGCCTGTTAGAAGCGGGTCTTAGATAAGCAAATGAAACAGTAAACAAAAATATGGTGAAAACAACGAGGTGAGGTAGGCAAGTGGAGAAGGCCTTTTTCCTCCCTTGAACAGAAGGAATTCTCAGAACAGCTGAGAAGATCTTCACATAGGTAACAACAATGAAGATGAAACATCCAAATCCTAACATAGCATTGAAAACTAAAACTCCAATTTCATTTATATATGAATCAGAGCAGGCAATCTTCAGTAAATGTGGGATTTCACAATAGAACTGAATGATAGTATTAGAGCAGAAAGGAGTAGTAAATGTTTCAATACTGTGTAATGAAGCACTGAGAAAACAAGCAATCCACACAATGCCAACCATTATGGAGCAAGCCTTCCTGTTCATTATCATTTCATATTGCAAAGGATTGCAAATGGCAACATATCGATCATAGGCCATGACAGTTAAGAGGGCAACATCAGAGCCCAGAAAAAAGACAAACAAGAGGACTTGAGCAACACACCCTGAATACGAAATATGCCTTGTATTCATAAGGCAATTGAAAACAGCTTTGGGAATAATAACTGAAACTGAGCCAATGTCCTGCATGGCTAAGTTCATCACAAAGAAGTACATGGGAGTGTGCAGGTGGTGATCAGAAACAACAGCAATGATGATGAGAAGGTTCCCTGTTACTGTCATGAAATACAGTGTCAGTAATAAAGTTGCATACATAACCTGTAGCTTCCAAATCTTTGAGAATTCCAAGAGAAGGAACTCAGATGTGTGATTATCCATTCTTAATCATGAAATATGGCATCCCTAGAAGGTGGGGAAAAAAAATAGTGTGGTTCGATATTTTCTATTCTGTGAGTTTGGAAAGAACATCTGTTCAATGTTCAGTAAAATTCCATTCAATCTTTTGGGAAAGAAAAGTGAAACGGACTGATCTTTTTATCCAGATAGATTGCTATGTATTCCATTACACTATTATAGTTGTCAGCAATCCCTTTCTCTGCATCATTTCTGGGGAATTGTCTATCTTCATTAATTTTATTGCTCCTCTCCATTTCAGTCGTTTGTCACAAAGTTTCAGTGTAATATAATGCAATGCTTTTCTTCAAAAAACAGAGCAAAAAGAATTGTACAAGTTCAAAGAACAAAAAGGAGAAGAAATATTGGAAACTTCATTCCTTTACAAGATTATTCTGTTTACAGTTCTTATGGTTTGAACATATCGGAATTCTCCCATCCTGAGATACTTACACCCTCTAGGTTTACGTCATAGTGTGATCTCTTATAGCATTAGAAACATCCTTTTCTTTTTTGGGATTAGCCACCTAAAATGCATTTGGCAAATGCTGATGGAGCTCATGATTTAGTATATTCTATTTTGTTAACAGCACCAGTAAAAGATACTCTTTAACATTGTGGAAGTCTCCAAATAAAGAATTAGGAAGCCCTCCAATAGATAACTATTTTAGTCCTATCATGTGAAATGTAGAAATTCTGAAGACCATGCTTCAAATCAGAAGCTACTTCAGGTGCTTCTGAATGTAAAAGAAAATCTTCAGAGACCCATATGAATAAGTTGCGATCTGATTCAGACCATCATCTGAATTAGCTGTTGAGTCAATTAGATTAAAATTAAATAAGATGTCTGAACTGGTTCACATGCATTGATATGAAACTAGGTTGAATTAAAACATGTTGTATCTTCTAATCAATAGACCTTAATCTCAGTCTTTAAATTTAGTAGATCATGTCTGGCATGGTAATTAGATACAAAGTGGGGGAAAAGGTAATGCTTAATTTTTATTTCTACATTACAATAATGTATAATGAAATTCTACTTAACTTATTTTCTGACTGAATAATAATGACTATAAAAGCCCTTACTATTTCTAATATATTTTAACTAGAATTATAATTACAAGAGAACACGTAGGAAAGCCTAGGTTGAGAACTTGCAGGGAAAACAGGAGAAGTAAGTATAGTTCAAGGTAAAAGGGAATAACTCACAATATTTATTCATGCAGATTTCTCTATATTTTTTCTTAATTTTTTTTCTGTGCAGCCATTTTTAAGATTGCATGCTGAGCAGCCATGAATCTTACCCAGTCTTGCTAGTCTTTTCCCCCAAATATAATAAGAGTTGATCTCCATTGGCAGTATAATAAAGCTTTGGTGGGTTGGAGGTTTTCTATGCTCCATGGGAGAATGCCCAAGGGCCCGTATTATTTTAAGTGAAGAATTCTACAAGGGAAAAATGCTGATGTGTTAATTTTACAAGCTTGATAACAAGAGATGATAAAGAGGAGAAATAAGTATAATGCAAGTTAAAAGAAAATAACTCACCATCTTTATTAATGCAGATTTTTTTGTGTG